CAAATTATTCATCGATCATATAATCAAAATTTTTATTGGTCACAACTTAATTACAACTTAATAAATTGTGAATCACAGTCACAATTTTTAGGTCACATATTATTTATTTGTCAAAAATTAACCAATTATTGATCATAAACACCCACCCCACCCTATCTCATCCCACCCAAGACCATCGGCACGACCACCCCCACCACTACAGCCAGGACACTACACACAGCACACAACAACCACCACTGCACCGCACACCTCCACCTCCACCGCAGCACTACCAAAGATCTCAATTCCCACCACCGCGCCACACAAAAAAAAGGGGGAACGAAAAATGGATTTGCACTCCCAAACTGGTAGCAACGGTCTGGCGAACAACTCCATCCCCATCGCACCACCACCTTCGCACGGCCACACACCACTCACCTGACTGTCTCACTGCACCGTACACCTCCACATCCATCTCCATCGCATCAAAGCACATCACCGCACACAGCACCCGATCTCCGTTCCTACCACCGCACCGTACACCTCCACCACCACACACTGCACCTCCACCACCGAACCGTCGATGAGCGCAGCGACGTCATCGGCAAAAGTGGGAGGCGTCGCCAGTGAAGGTTGATAGAGAGAGAGAAGAGAGAAGGCAAAGAAGAAGGGAGAGAGAGAAGACGAAGAGATGGAGAGAGAAAGAAAACGAAAATAGTTTCTAGGGTTTGGGATTAAATTGATTAGGGTTTTAAAATAGTACCTAAATTTTGAATAAATAAACTTTAGATCTGATTTTTAAAAAGTAATCTTTAAACACCTGAATTTATGTAATTTCCACTTAATTTAGCTCCAGTTTGATAAAATATATGATTAAAAAACTGATAAAAGTCGTTGGTATCATAAAATATGTAATTAAAATTAATTGTTCACTTTGATTTCGATTTTTATCAACTTTTTAGTTACACCACACATGGGTTTAATAGAATCTGTTCATTACAGATGCTGAGTAGCACGACTCACTGAATCCATAAATTCAGCCAAAATTTTGTTCCATTGACTCAAAGACACTACAATGTACAAATGGACCTATATTTTTCCTTCCGAGTAATAAAGGCAATAGAAAGCTGTATGGAAAATTCTCATATCCTTTGTTTTGGGTAAGGCATGAAGATTGAAGAAGCGCTATACCAGTCTGGTCAAGTGCTTATCATCGGCCATCTGAGCAAGTTATAACAGCGCTCAAGGCTAATATTTCCATTAAGGGCTCGTTTGACGTAACTTTTATTTTCTGTAGAAGAGCTTTTGAAAGAAATTATTTTAATTTTTTTTTTGAAAATTAATTTTTAAAATAGCTTT